GGATTTGTGCCAGGAAAATGTATAAGACAGTCTACAAGAAACAGAGAATGCTTCTGCAAGAGCCAAAAATGCTTCTTATGTTAATTTCAACAGATGACCACTGGAATGAAAACATAACATTTAAAATGGTCTCAATGAACACTGAGACCTCTGGGTGGGGATGGCAGCCCTCACTTTGGGAAAATATCATTTCCTGTATCATCCTTGAATGAACTGGGCCACTCAAAGCTTCAAATAGTTTCCAGTGCACCCATCCATTCACTGCGCTGCATAAGCCACTTCAAGTGAAATCAAAGCCACTGGGCATAAGGTACGCCCTCATTTTACACACAAATAGGAAGGAAAATGTTCACTAGAAACTTGATTTTGGAGACGTTCAAGTGTGAAAAGCAAAAGAGAAAGACCCTGTGTTTTGGCCTGGGTGGGAACTCCCTGGCACAGGGCGCTGAGAACTGGGGGCGCTGAGAAGGGGGCGCTCTGCTGTCCAGCTCCGGGCGGGATGGTAGCCCTGCTCCTTCACAGCCATGGGACACGGGCAAACCCCATCCCCTCGGTGAGCCGCAACCTGTATCTAATATTAACGTTGCCTGCTTCTCACTACTTTGCTGGGAGAATCACACATGATCCTGTTACAGTTTTTACCATGTGCCCAACACTTATTAGCTGCTTTATTCCTGCTACTTTTATGAATCTGGCAAGAGCAAGATCCTGAGTTTAACAAATAGTAAATGGCTTCTAGAATGTGAATGAGTTCCCCTAGTCTCCGTTGCCAAACCTTGAGACACTGTGTGAAATAAGGCCTGACGACTTCGCTGCCTCAGTGCCGTGGCTCTAGAAACGAAATGAAATCATTGTCTAAAATGGAGTCAAAACATCTTCTTAAACGGAAGAATCACTGGAGCCCCAAGGAGTGGATGACTGGAACACGATGGGTGATAGTTTGCATACTGCTTTGCATGACATTTGCATGCCACCAGTTCCTTTGTGCTGGAAGTGGAAACCAGCCCACCATCTGGTTCTTTCCTAGGCTCTTAGGGTCCCCTAGGTTAGAGTAGGCTGCCTCTGCCTGGGGAAAATGAAGCAATTGGTGTGCATTAAGTAGTTGTGGCATGTGCCTCCAGGGCTGGTTATCTCGCTGCGGGGAGAAGGGCAAGTCTGTCCCAGGCTGTGGACCAGTCCCCTGGCACCACTGTGGACCATCCTGCCCTGAGGATGGTCACTGATGCGAACACCAGTCACCCACAAGCATCGCCAGGCTTCACCTGAACACAACCCCCAGCACGACTGCACCTGCTGGTAAATCAGACAGCCACAGCTAAGTGGCTGAGAGAACAGTTCCCGACCACCGGTCGCTTCCCTATCAAACCAGTGCACCGCTCTTTTCTGGAGTGTGAGTAATCATGGGGTAGCGGACCTACGACAAAGGTTTGCGTTCACTTTCAAAGTTGTCAGGATTTAAGGTAAACATGCAGCAGCCAATACCTGGCAATAAAGAACAAAAATCAGCACTGAGTCCATGAGAACCCTGGTGCAGAATCCTCTGCCAGCTCTACTGCTGTTTCTTGGGATTAACTGAGTATTTCTGGGCCCTCAATTCACGGCTACTTGTCCATAAGTGATAACGGACCTATGTTTACCAGTCCATAGGCCCAAGTTACAAAACTGCTGTTTCTTGGGATTAACTGAACATTTTTGTAAACTCAAATACCTATAATGTAGTGTTGGCATGTAAACTGGCCAGTGATTCTATATAAGAGGATATGAAACATCTATTGTCCATACAAGAGCTGAAAATAACGCCCTAATGAGTAAGTGTCCTCTGAGTTACCCTTTGGGTGGTGCATACAAAGGCCAGCTCACAATTCTCCGAGGCTCCCACATGACATGTGACCCACAAGTGAACAACAGCAAACCGAACCAATCAGCCATAAAAACCCAAATTCATATCCGGACACTGGGGCCAGGAGACGACAAAGATAATTAAGCTTATTAGGTTTTAGAGATGCTATTTTGTCATAGGATAATTTTATCTTTGGGTGCTTTACAGCTTTAATAAGGATAAAAGGCTTTAAAAATGACTGGAAATAACATGTGAAAGAGTATGCTTTTGCAGACTCTTAGAAACACGGAGCCTCAGTTACATAAACCTCCTAAAAGTGACTCCAAGAAAGTTAAAATAACCAAATGAACCGCCTTGAGAGACCACTTTTCTGCCCAAAAGTGTCACTTCTCATAGGATAATCATGAGAATGCCAGAAATTTTAGAGATTTAGTACAATGCCTGCCACCTTTTTATATACATGAGGAAGTCAAGATCTTATTTAGAAACTGGCGCTTATTTAAAAAAAGGCAGAGTCCAGAAGATGAACACTCGGGACTGGCAGGTGCTGGACCAGGGACGAGGATCAGAGGCCTGGCTGGTGGGGGCTCAGTTAAAGAGCTTAGAGCTTTGAAGAAAACCACATTCCAAAAGGAGAAGAAGGTGTTAAGGAGAAACGGCGTCTCTAAAAAGAATAACCAAACATTAGGATATTCTGGGGCAGAGTTGGGTGACCTTCTGGGTCTGGGGTCACCTGGGATGAGGGGTGAGTCTGTCCCCGGGAAGCAGGGCCCTGCACCACCTCAGTCCCTGAAAGGGCCAGGAAAGCAAACTCATTTCAAAGGACAGGGAACCAGACATATGACAGAAGGTGCATATGAATCACTGATTCAGTGATACTCGGAACAGGAGGGCATCGCCTCTTTATCTGCTCATCTGTCTCCCAAAAAGCTCAAGATCCGGACAGAACAAGCGGCCCAGAAGCTGGCTCCTCAGTGTGTGTCTTACAGGCCCCTGAAGACGGAGAATTCCTGTCTTTAAGGGAAAAGGAGTGGTGGACGTGCTGGTTATCCTCTGCCCGCCCCCACCCCGGGATGCAGTCTTGGCCTGTGCCTGTGCCTGTGTCCTGGCTCACTGGTCTCTGTGACCTGCATTCCCTGGGCCCCTTGTCACCTGGGCTCATCCAGTGGGAAGCCTGGCAAGTATTTCTTCCCATTCTCTCCTGCAGCCCCTTGCCCAGGGCCCTCACCTGTGCCCCCAGCCTCCTGGCTCTGCAGTAGCATTTGCTCCCTGCTCCCGCAGGCTTGTCAGGGGCTTGTGGAGGGATATAAACGCCTTCTTGGGCCTCCCCACTCCTGGCTGGCTCCCTTTCATTTCTTCATTCCATGGACCCTGACTCTAAATTGGGGTCTCTCTTTTGCCAGGACCCTGAAGTGACACCAGGGAATGGAGACCATGGGATAAACATGGCAGCGTGTACATTTTATGTTGAAACTGAGATACCTTGCAGAGTAGAACGGAAATCCACATATATACTTTAAACATAAACAGACCTTCAAAAACATCAGCTTCCAACCCCAAATACTGCTGCCCTGGCAGTTCACTCTCCTTTGGCCTCCAAGATCTTTAGTGGCAAAACTGGGAACGGATGCTCTACCAGGGGGAATGGAGCCTCCCTCAGACTCCACCTGCGTTATAAGTGGAAGTACAATCAGGAGCCACACAACGGCATTTCATTTCAGTCAACGACGGAACACAGGTGTGAGGCGGTCTGTAAGCTCATACTGTACGGTCTTGTGTGCACTAGGCTATACCATCCAGGTGTGTGCTGGTACACTCTGAGGTGTTCACACAACAATGAAGTCACCCAACAACACATTCCTCAGAACGTCTTCCTGTTGTGAAGCAACGCATGACTGTAAAGTTAGGGGAATTCCTTGGTTGCCTGAGGGAGCTGGTCTTCCAGGCCACAGAGCAGCAGCCACAACCTGACGGAGACAGGGGATGGGGGGAGGGAGAGGAGGAAAATAGTTCAAGCAGGGCCAGAGCACACAGGAAGGAGGAGGAGGGTCAGGAATGGGAGCATCCTAAGATCTTGGCCTGTGGAGGATGTCACTCCTCTGAGAACAATGTGGTTGGAGTCCAGCACTTTGATTCCTCTCAGAATACAGAGTCAGTCCTTAGCAAAGGTCCTGCTATAAGGCCAGCATCCTTTGTTACTAAATGGGCAGAGAATTATGCAATATTAGAACACTTTTTACAGTCTATAATTTAAAAATTCCCCACACCTAAAATGAAGACACTTTGGTTATCTATATATATAAAAGCCTAAGTGACCGATTGACCATTCGACTCGTAGCTATGACGCGCACTGACCACCAGGGGCAGACACTCCAGCGGGTAGGTTAGCTTGCTGCTGGGGTCAGGCTAATCAGGACTAGGCGAGACGGACTGGACACACCCTGGAGCCCTCCTGTGGTTCCTCCTCAGCCCCGATCGTGCACCGGTGGGGTCCCTCAGCCTGGACTGTGCCTTCTTGCAATCTGGGACCCCACTGGGGATGTCTACAGGCCAGGCCGAGGAACTCCACCGGTGCATGAATCGGTGCACCAGGCCTCTAGTTTAAAATAAAAGTGAAACACAAGTTGATCTTACTCCTCATAATGCTGGATAGATAATCGTTAACCATAACCCCTTGGACTTACAGTAGAACCTGGAAGAGAGGAGAAGGCAGCTGCTAAGGGCATGTGCTTAAAAGGAAAAACTGCTGGGCTTCTGGGAGGGGCCAGTCACTGAGCAGAAGTGGAACGAGCTGGGAGTCCTCCTGTGTCCCCTCCAAACACCCACTTCGTTCAATTCCTTTCTTCCCTCCTCATCACTCTCATATATGATGCCTCTGCTAAGCTTTTATCAAAAACCAGGCTCTGAAGTCAAGATCCACGTGGATACTACCGGTTTCCATGAAGGTATATATGTGAACTGCTACTATGGACAAGATGCCTTTACCTTTCAATACCAGCCTGATGATTCTTCGTAAGTGCATTTTATTCAGATGGAGAAGACGTCTCTTTATTAATACCTAATTCCAAGTGGAATTACCTCATTTCTCATCATTTTTTTTCAAAGATAAAAATTATCAAAAGGCAACAGACACCAGTAAGAACCGGTTTAGTTTGCTTACCTGCTGTCCCCAGCATTTGCCACATACAGCTTCCCAAGGAGGCAAATGACAATGAGGGCCGTGCAGCCACCAGATATGTTATATGAGCTCCTCTCTCGTTCTATCTGCAGGTCCTGGGGAAGAAAACGAAGTTAGTGTTGGAGTGCACAGGAACGCGTAGCAAAGGCTTTCCTAGCATCGCTCCCTAAGGGTCTGAATGTGCTTCAAAGAGACAAGAGAATCCTCGGCACTTGCTTTTCGGCCCCCTAACGAGCATTTCTGGAGAGGACACTGGCATGAAATTGTGGCCTGCCAGACCATCTGCGGACCAGAGGCAGGAAGCAGGGGGTGGCAAACAGACATAACCAGGCAAAAATGAGAAGAATAAAACCAACTGTAGTCAATAAATACCATAGCTTATGGAAAGTGCAGGTTTTGTACGGGCTGTCTGAGCTGCCAGGTGGAAAAGACAATAGGAAGGCTGAGGAGGCCATGTACTTGGTCCTGGTCAATGATTTTAACCCCAAAGTCGCCAATCAATAGTTTCTTTGACAGCGAGGAGAGAGAGGTGACTTGAAGGACAGTGCCCTCTGTTCACTGCAGACAGGAGTCAACCTCCTGTCTTACTGATCAAAGATATAAAAGCTCCTGTACTCGGGTCTGACTTCCTCTTCCCACTGATTCACAACAGTGACGCACATGCATAGGAACAGTCAACTTTCATCCTCAATGTCAGCTAGCGGGCGAAGCGCTTTACATATAGAGTCTCATCTCGTCCTCACGGCCACAGTAGTAGCCTCACTGTCTAGAGGCAGAGAAATGGGGTAACCTGCCCCTGTTCACCTGGCTGGAGTTTGGATTCCAATTCAGTTCTCTTCCTCCAAAGCCTATGTTATTACTTGCCACCTAATGAGGCGTCCCTAAGAAAATTAAAAATAGACCAACACTTCTACTGACAGATGTGCATCACCCTCAAGACAGATCGTTGTGAAATTCTACTGACAGAAGTAAGGGCTCCGTTACCTCAGAAAACGGGAGTTTAATTAGGAAAAGAAACCGAATGCTAGCTAAAATATCCCAGTAGTAATCTGCTGGTGGGGCAGAGGGAGGGAGAATGCGGTTGGGTGATAAGTCGAGAAGAGGAAGAAACGGTGCCCGGGCTGACGGTGAGGGTGGCACTGGCAGACCGAGGGCCAGGGCACTTTAGTGATTCCTGGTGGCTCAGTGGCTTTGGCCAGCTCCCCGTGCAAAGGGAGAGAGAATGGAGTAACCCAGCATTTATCAGCAATGGCTTTACTCCAGGGGCCAGACGTGGGGATATCCACAAAGCTAGACAAACACCAATGGGAAACCGGAGACAAAAGAGCCTGAGTTGAGGCCACAGAATAGGAACAGGGTTTTGGTCAAAAAGTAAAGAGAGAGAAAAAAGTACAAAGACAGGAGCTGGGAGAAACCAACTTATTGGGAATGAAGTGGGAAAGGAGAAAGGTAGTGGGAGGGCTGAGTAGGCCGGGGGCTGGGGAAGGGGTGGGGAAAGTGTGTGTGGGGGCATATGGTAGTTCAGAAGCAGGTGAAGGAAAACTCCAGCCAGGGAGTGAGTGAACAGCAGCATCGAAGCTGCGCCCGGCTCCGCCATCGGGCACGTGTGGCCGACTCTTCTGCTTGTCTTCTCACAGGACTTTCAGGAGCAACAGGCTCCCGGCCACGAAAACAAGGCAGAATCGGCCCATTCCCCCGTGGAGATGGGCGGAAACCGGTAATACACTCAGGCACAACTCCAAGAGGAGACACTGAGAGGAACCAGGCCGGGTCTGCCAGGAGCCGCCCAGGAGAGGCGCTCACACCCAGATGCACCCAGGATGCCTGCGGCTAACCGCGTCCCTGAAAAGCTAGATCACTACTGTCGGGGAACTGGGTGTTTTTACAGGGAAATTATCGGAAGAATGATTTTTCTCTTTGTTGACATTTTTTTTGCACTAGCAGGCGGGGTCAGTAACAAACATGTGAGGCCTTAAAAAGAAAAAAAGCTACACAAGGGTCAAGCATGAGGACTACCTTCAGAGACTTTACTTAACCTGTATTCATCAGCTTTCTTAAGGGACTGTTGTGAGGATTACATTAGACGGTGTGTGTGAGGGGCTTAGCAGGCCATCTAGATCCTCCCACAGCCTGGAAGTCCGTGACTGAGAGCACTGTTACACTCTCAATACCTGCACTGGGCCAGGTTAAAGGCAGCGTAGGAAATGTCTATTAAGTGGGCAAATAAAGTCACACAACTAAAAATGCCTGGGTTTCCAAAGGCTCTCCCACCGTCTCATCTCTGCTATAACATGAGAAATGTGTTCACGATTCACAAATGAAAAGCTTACAATGCAAATAACTGCTCACTCAGGTCAGTAAGGAGGAACCCACACTTCAGTTAGTGAAGTCCCGTGACCAGAACGACTGACCGAATGTCCTCAGAACCTCAGGGGGGGGGGGGGGGGGGGGGACCACCGGGAGGGGCTGTCAAACAGAAGTGAGAGAGCAGAGGCAGCAAGCATCCAGCTGGCAGAAGTTTTGTCTGTTTAACCTCCAAACTATGCATAAACAGAACCAAAATCCTGCCCACAAAGGCGTTTGTGGGTGGATTTATTCATTTTTTCACATTTAAATAAATAGTATCAAGTTGATATTATGATAGATATGTATTTCATCAAATTATCATATAAATTGGTATGTGAAGTCCACACCCAATTATTACTGCTTTTTATATCCTGGAAGGAACTGCTCTAGCTCAGAAACCATCCTTTCGCATCCAGAATCAATATTTGTGTAAATACTTCAAGTCTGGATGAAAGGCAATTTTTATGAAAACCCCCTGGGCACTGCCTGCTTGCATGGACTGGGGTATGAACGGCTCCTGACAGACTTACATCAGGGGTGTGATCCCGGGGCCGGGGGCCGGGGGTGGGGGGATGCTCTGGTACACAGAGGCCACGGCAGAGTCCTCTGGGGCTCAGTCAGGCAAGTGTATTCTGCATCGTACGTGCAGTATCGTGGTTTACATCACAAAAAAATGTGGTTATAAAATTATGTAATCCTTCTTAAAAAACCGAGGCAGAGTGTGCAACACTAAGACTTTCTGCTACGAATGTCCTCAGAACCTCACAGGGAGGGCTGGAGGGAGAAGTTCATATTTGCCTTTAGTTTTGGGGAAACACTCCTGTTAGCTTGCCCAGTTATCCCTTGCTATTACATTAATAGCGATTCAATGGTTTTTTCCCCTAATTTAATAATTTCTTTCATCTTTTCCTGTGTTTCAACTACTTCCCCTCTTTAGCTCCCCCAGCATAAGGAATGCTAAATTTGGCAGCACTTTCACATCAATAGTGAGCTAAAGTCTAGTTACATTTTATCCAAGGAACTTTGCTGACATATTCATGCGTTCCACCCAAACCCCCATTTGTGTGGTAAGATATATGTATGCAAGCACGCACGCACACACACGCACACGCACACACACGCACACACACACACACACGCGCGCACACACACGCACACGCACACACACACGCACGTGCACACGTGCACATGCACACACACACGCACACACACGCACACGCACACACACGCGCACACACACGCACGTGCACACGCGCACACGCACACACGCGCACACACGCGCACACGCGCTCTAACTACAAGTCTGCTCTCTGGAATCACCGTGACAAGCATTTGAAAGCCGTGTTTCCATAGACTTCGTCACCCTGAAGGGATCACTGACATTAAAACACACTCTTCTGTTTCTCCTGAAACTGGTGTAACTGGAACATATTCTAAGAATAACTGCTTCCCTCTCCCTCCCTAGAAGCTAAAATAGCACATTAACTTTCTTCCTACACCACCCACTCCGCTGTAGAAGATGTTTCACAAAACCTTAGCATTGAAGGGAACATTAAAGGACCATCTGGATGGTTTCTGCTACTACCAGGTCTAGCCTGATAACGAAGTCAGTAAAGATATATTTACCATCAAATCAACCACCTATTTTCTTCAAACTCTCAACTTTCCAATTTGCTTAAATTTCTCACACTCTGGGTAAAACATACAAAAATGTGCATAACTATTATTCTTTATTAAAAACCCTCAGGTTTGGGGTTGTTTTTACATTAATGCAGTCATGGGGGAAACTGCTTTGTGCTACACCAGGACCAATTTTAAGAGTTCCCCATTTTACCCAAAACTATTTGGCTAAACTATTTTCGCTAAAATGAGGGAGTCAGCAAACCTCAAGACATAAGTCTAGAAAAACTAGTAAAAAACATGCACACATCACCGTTCCTTTCCAAGCACGGTCCGCAAGGATAAACTTAAATGACTCCTGAGATTCAATTAACGAGATGATTGACTTATCTGCTCAACAAAGGCCCTTTCTACTGAGCAGGACTGGTTTAGCCTGTGTTATGTCTGCATAAATATTACAGTTAACCGAGGTTTATCTCTAAATCAACAGAAGGAATCCCATTTTCAAGACCTGGGGTTTTATTTTGCTTCTTTTTATTGCAAGACGGTGGGAACAATGAGGGGGGAAAAGAGATGAGTGCCGCATGAGACCAATCCAGCAGGAAAGAGTTGCAAGACAGAGAATACATTGCTGGGGATGGTTGTAATTTGGCTTGAAAGTCCCAGAGATGATGCAACCCCGGGTCGTTCTTTGTTTCCTACCAATTTTCAGGTTGCGAGAGGAAAGCATCAGACAACACAAGGCGGCGAGGGTTGGGCAGTTTCAACAGGACCTGGCAGCTCCCCCTCGCTCGGTTAAAACACAGCTCTGAACACACTGCTAACAGTGTCCGTCACAAATAATAAGATTCTGCATGGTTTTCGTATTTGGGTCTGATTTTGGTTTATTCTGAGAACAAGCCAATCTGTCAGCCAGGCAATGGGGAAGGGAAAAAACCAGTACTGCCTAATACTGCCACCTGCTGGCTGTTGCTGGAATCACATGTCCATTCCTTCTTGGAGGAGCTTTCTGATCTACCAGAAACAAAGACAAAACAAAACGCTAGCTTAAATACAGGCAGACACGCAGGTACACAACTTAACCATGAGTATGCTAATTTTTTAAAACACAAGAATTTCTAAACTATAAAGCTTTGCATTCATCCTCCTTTTTCACCGTTGTGTTACCATACGGTTTTTTCCAACAAAGGCGAGCTGAGTGGTATTTCCATTCATTTACTCACTAACAGACAGCTTTACAAGTTAAAATACTTCCTTTTTTCTCCCTCATAGCAACCATATTCTAGAACATTCTTCACAGTGGTGAGGAATCTATACCTGTCCTGAAAAGGAAATAAGACAGATTTTTAAGATTTTCCTGCCTAGTGGCCAATTAGGAAAAAATATGGGAGACATAAAATGAGGAAGGGTCCAATTAGAAAGCAGCATGTATAAACAAAGAAGCTGCCAGCATTTATAAACCCTTAGACAAACAGACTTCACTGGTTCCCCTTTGGGGGCCCCCTCCCCACGAGGGAGTCTGTATCCACTTGCAATTAATTTCCACGCTTTTGCATAAAATCTTTTAGTCCACCAATTTTTATTCTTCAAACTCTGTAGGACAAGAACTCGGAAACTCCAGCTTGCCATTTGGGGTATCACAATTATACCAACAATGGAAGCGACTTCCCTCGAGAACCTGAAATGCTGACTATTCACCCCGTTTTTGTGGGTGGGGAAGTAGCGAGGCCACTGTGGTCATTTGTTTTATTCACATCTATCATCTTGGGCCAAATAACAACCTAAACACAATAGGTGACAAAACTTAGCTGCTAATGTTGGCATTGTTACAGAGCATTGTTGGGAAGCAGAACTGACGTGAGTCACAAAGTTCTGAAATCCCGGGCCTTTGGGAAGCCATGGCAGCCACAGGAGGGACTGGCTATGAATGGTCCTCACTAGGGAGGGAGATCCAGGATGAGATACAACCAGGGGCCTCGGGCACACCTGCCTCTGCCAGCCGGCACGGTAAGCATCAGAGGCCAGTGGTCAGAGTCACCTTCACCACAAGCCATGTGTGGCGCCAGGCAACCTGGGGACAGAGGAGGAACGCAGTGGCCTCAAAGAAGCCTCCAGTATTTGGTGAAACTGTTCAAAGAATTTCCCCCGCTTCTGGTAGTCTCTATTTTCGACTAATACCTAGTATTTTTTGTAGAAATAAGTACTATTTATTTTGGCTTGATGTTTCTGAACCTTTTTAACTGATTGTCCCTCTCAGACAGATATTGACATGCACCACCCTCCTTAATGCTACTTAGAACATCAAAATAAATGAGATACTGTATATTTATCTCTGTATTCATATAATGTACGACTACAAACGCCCCTAAATATAAAATCTATTCTTATAGACCCTCATGGTGTCTAGAAGAATGAGGTTATAAAATATTAGCTCAATCTATACTAGTGACTGAGAAAGGTATGTGTGTGAGAGAGACAGAGTGAGAGAGAAAGAGAGAGAGAGAGAGAGAGAGAGAGAGAGAGAGAGAGAGAAACTACAGAAATGTCATCAGTGAGGCAAATTTGAGGCTTTAGGCGCTGAGCTTGGGAAAGTTTTAGTTATTAAAAGTAAGAGAGAAAGCTGAAATGACTGGATCTTATTTAAATACTGAGTTTTCCTGCAAGACCTCAAGAACACCCAGAAAGAGGAAAGCTAGAGAGCCGCTGGCTATTGTGAGGAAAGAATGTAGGAGTGGCTGGGAAATTACAAACCTGGCCTTCTCCGAAAGGCCTTGAAAGGCCTGCGGAGGAACGTCCAAGATCAGGCCAAGGGGATCAGGAAATCTGTTGCGTGTTAGACATTTCAAAAGACCCAAGTTTACCTTGAAACAATGACCCTCAAAGACCCAATACTGAGAGGGACAGGAAAGAAAAAGAGTTGGCGATGGCCTTCCAGGCCATTAACACGAGAGTACACTGTGTAATTTCCCAAGCAATGTAATGGCTAAGCCAGGCACTGTTTCCATGACAATGGAGAAATTTTTTCTGAAGTCGCTGATGAAGCAAAGGAAAAATAAGAGCATGTCTCTTTAATTAGTAAAAACGTAAGCATCATCCAAACGGGAACACTTTGAGAGTAAAAGGGGACAGTATTGATGATGACTACGGGCTGGACGCCGGGCCACCCCACCAAGCACCATGAAAACCAAAGAATAATGAGCAGCTCGCTGCAAAGTCCAGGGGTTCTCTGGCAGTTTGGGGACCAAAGAGAACAATCTGGGAAAAATTCAAGTGTGAAGAGGAAGCTGAGGGGTGGGATGGATTGGAGAATAAGAGTTTTAAAGCCAAAAATTCACAACACGGCACACCAGGTCCTCCATAGGTGAGTTCTAGACGGTCTCTCCGGTTCACTTTATATCATTTCTACCTTTGAAGTCTACCTGCTAGCCATGGTGGATGTCGGCGTGTTGCCTGCAGCCCATCCGGGTCCCCTCTCTGATGTTCTTTATGCAACCGGTTTCCTCTGCCCAGAACACCCTCAGCCTCCCAGGTTTTGTCTGCTTCACACCTCTCTGCCCCCCGGCCCCCCGACTTCTCCAGGGAACCCTGAGCTTGACTTCTTTATCAGACTCCTATGTCACCAACACTTCTCTCAAGGTCCTTCCCATTTATATCTTACACAGCATCATCTGACTTGTTTATAAGGCAAAAATACCCGGCTTGTTTAATACCCGGCTTTGCCTGATTCAATGCTCTTTTCTCAATTAGGCCTGGCATACAGTCAGTTCTCAACAAATACAGGGGTGGGCAAAAGGAGGTTTACAGCTGTTCATGTGGAAAATAATGCAATAATTAATAATACAATAAATTCTGTTTTGAATATTCACAACTGTCAACCTACTTTTGCCCACCCCTGAATTTACTGGATTGAATGCATTACACAGGAATATGTAACAATTAAGTCGCCAAGAAAAATGTCAGGTCATGAACTGGTTAGTTAAAAGCGGGGGAAAAAATAATGATAAATAAGAATGAGGCTCCTTACTAAGTATTTTTCCGAATGGGACTTTCATTTCAAGTAGAGTTGCTGCTAATAACCCGGAGCCATCAATGGCCAGCAGAGGCCCGAGACCCTGTGGAGGCCTGACTCGAGGTGACATTGGCCTCTGGTGGATAAAACTGAGAATACAGCAGTTCCAAGTAAAAGGAAAAGCTGCCATGGCACTAAGCAATGACTGAAAAACCCAAGTTTCTTCTGTTTTTCACTTTTCTCCCACGAGGGCTGTGAGCCCATTGTCAAATTTCTACCTCAACTACATATTAGCATTCAGGACACTGGGTCTAGAAACACTTATTCACATCGGAGTTCCATGAGAGCCGGAGAGTGAGCTAATATGATACTGAGCCCCAACAGGAGTTGGTTTTATTACCGTGATTCCTTTTCTCCTAATTAATCTTTCCCGGCCTCCCGGTATTTTTCTTGGAAATGAAGACCACCAGACACTCCGGAGATGGAGGTGCACTTTAAACCACCTGCTACTCAAAGGGTAACTATTATCTGTGACAGGAGAGAGACACTGGGACCAAAGAAGGGACGGGTTAGAGGAAAGGGTAGAAGGTTGAGGTGCAAATATATGAACTATTTTTGCCTTATAAACAAGTCAGATGATGCTGTGTAATATTATTTGCTTTTCTGCTGCCATTAGCACACGACCCGACGTCAGGAGATCCTGGAATGTGCATGGTGTGTACCTGCAATTCTGGGGTGGGAAAGGGGGAGGTCTCTAGCTGCTCTCACTTCACTTAATGGCTTGTCATCATTTTTAATCTCTAGTCTTTCAGGACATGGCCGCACACTCACCTTATTCAAGGCCTTAGACCAGTGGTTCTCAACCTTCTGGCCCTTTAAATACAGTTCCTCATGTTGTGACCCAAACATAAAAAGTTATTTTCGTTGCTACTTCATAACTGCAATATTGCTACTGTTATGAATCATAATGTAAATATCTGATATGCAGGATGGTCTTAGGCGACCCCTGTGAAAGGATCGGTCGACTGCCAAAGGGGTTGCGACCCACAGGTTGAGAACCGCTGCCTTAGACTATGCTTACGTATCTGTTACTCTTTGTCTGCATGCAGGTTGCTGCTCACTCAGGAGAGGAAATCTTTGAAACCCAAATCATTGCCTCCAGAGAAAGGGACCTCAGAGAGGGAAGGGGGTGCCCGACGGGAGCGGGGCCCCCTTCTATGTGCCTGCGAGCAGCTGCACTCTCTCCCTGCGTGTGTTCTAGGAGTGAGGCTGCGGGGGAAGGAGGCTGACTCTGATGATCAGACACATTCAAATCTACATGTACAAACAAATCCATGTTCCCCAGCACAACAAACGATCCTTGGACATGGGCCCGTGCTTTTGTGAAGCAGAGAGAACCACACCGCCACACGTCACGTAAAATAGCTGTTCTCAGATCACATTTGTGAAAAGGGGGTCACTCTGAGCACTGCACTAAAAGCTCTGTTTCCCCAAACACCTGGACCCCAGGCACATGCATGTAACAGATGGCGACCACACTCATTTCAATTAAGTGGAAGTGTACCAGCTGGCATCAATACGAGCCTGCCCGAGAGAAGCAATAACGCATACATTTATTTAATAAGTCCATTGCCTCATGCACCATCACTCGCTTTCATCTTCTTTTTCATTTCGGCCGGCACGCGATGCCAGGAACTCTATCTTGCCGCCAACTTCTACTGAGAATGGAAACCCTATTGTAAAAGGGAGACCAGCAACAAGTAGACATGCCCTGTCCGGTAACCTTTAAGAAGCAAGAGTTTAAGGCCAGGCCGTGTGGCTGGGTGGGTTAGGCTTGACCTAGGAGCCAGGAGGTCATGCTTGGATTCCTGGTCACGGCCCCTACTTGGGCTGCGGGCTCCATCCCCAGGAGGGGGCGTGCAGGAGGCAGCAGATCCATGGCTCTTTCTCATCACTGATGTTTCTACTCTCCCTCCCTCTCCCTTCCTCTCTGAAATCAATAAAAATACAATAAGAACAAATAAAAAGCAGCAAGAGTTTGGCCTCAGTGACCCCCCCCCCTCATCGCCCGGACCCTTCGGCCACACCTACCATTTCCTTGAACGCGCTCTCAAGGGCCCCGACGACCAGACACTCGTGGGGAATCTTCTTCTCCGTGAAGAAGCGCGTGGGCGGGGTGCCTGGGG